TGTAAATTGTTGGTTCTTAATGCTTTGAAGCAAAGGCTTTAAACTTGGTGAGATCTCACTGGTGGTTGAAATGAGATAACAGCGTACTTCACCATTGTGATGGAAATAATTTCACTTATGTTTATGGAAATAATTTTGTTACAGTGTGTGAAGTATTAAAAGAATATCATGATAAGCATCTCAAAAGCACCAGGAAAAACTGATCAGGCTAAATTGGGGCTAAAATTCTAATGTAGTGTAACATATTACCCTGTGAGCAAAAAGGAAAGTGTGCAGTAAGTGTAAGATATGCTGTCAATCTCATGTCCAGCATGATGCAAAGGTTGTAGTGACGTGCGGAAAACAGACTCCACAATCGGTGAGATTGTAAAGTACGTATGTTCATTCAGCGCTGGGCAGCACGGGGGGTAGTCCCACCAAAGTCGTGCACACCTGATTTGGCAGTTCACTTTAAATTTATACAGTCAACTGTTACATATACATAGAGTTTCGCAATACGCCTATACATAGGCATTACCTATCCCCGCTTCATATTAAAATTAGCTCTAGGAAGTAATTTCCATAGTCTCCTCTCAACTGCGCTTGCGCAGTGCCTCCTTATGGTGGTCGTCTGGTGGTCGTGAAGATGAAGGCTGTATGTCTTCTTCACGGTGAACTCTTAACCTTCTGTCCCTGCGCAGACTCAGTTGTCCCTTGGCATTTGTCCAAATCACAAGGTCAGTCTTGGCTGGTTCTTGGAGCCACTGCTGCTTCTCCTGTCCCAGCCAGCCTCAACAATGCAAGCGTTAAACATCACTTCTCATCCCCTTGGGCCATGGCTACCTCTATTGAAACTTCTTTAACTTCATTATAAGCTAGATAATTATTAAACAATTCTTATCCACATTCATATATCTACTATACCTGCTAAGGTTTCTTTGGTTCCCCGTCTCAGTAGGGAGTAAGTAACACCTAATTGTGTAGTTAAAATGATCATTGGACATATATACAGGGACGTTGCAAGAATATTATGTGGTTTGTTGTTTTTCAACCCTATTCTGTGGTGTCTAACACATGCAGTGCGCATCCGCCTTTTCCACCAGTGCTGCTGATTCTCCTGTTGCCTCTCAAAGCTGCTGCTGTTCCTGCGACAGCCTGTGCCACTTGCGCTCCTGCCCCTTTGCTGTGTCACTGCTGTGGACGCTGGCAGGAACAAGAACATCAGTGATGGCAGGTGTTTACTTACAACTAGTAGTTGCTTGGGTGTGTAAATATGCTCTTTAGATTCAGGCGTGCTTTACAAGTGTGTCATCTTACCCGCTGGAAAACACAGCATTCTGGGACATGCTTATTCTGCATGCTTGTACTTCAGAGACTGAGTGTAATGTTTGTGCAAGAGATAGCACTCTCACTGTTCTGAATCTCAAGGATAATCCATAAAATAAATCCAAATCCATATGCATTGAATATGATATCCATTTGTGCCTTCATCGATGTTACTAACAGATTTCTACCAACTGCAATGCTGCTCACGTTCTGTAGCATTACTAACCTATTTCCATGGAGAATGTAATTTCTTCAGTGTTTGCAGCTTCAGGAGGGGAGAAAGAAGGGAAGAAAAGGCAAGTTTTGATCCTAAATGAGTTCCTGAAAAAATGCTGTGCAAAATCCAGGTGCAAATAATGAATAACAGTGGGAAGAAAGGGTGCAGTTTTTGGAAGTAAACCCAAGTTCCTTACTACTGCAGAGTGCTGGGAAACAGAACAAGACTATGAGAGAACATTTAAGCTTGTCAGCTCCATCTAAGTATCTTTAAAAACATTTCTTTTGCTGAATTCCAGTGGTATAAGTACTGTAAGAGCCTTCCTTGTTGTACCTTCTTGCTGCTCCTCACCACAGCCCCTGCAGAGTTTACACCACTTCTTTCCCTGTGCTCAGAAGCCAGGAAAATCTTCCTGTATTGAGGATTTGCTCAGAAATTATTTCCTAACATTTCAGGCTCTAAAAGCTAGACTCCATAGGGATCTCTAGTTTTTGCTTTTACCAGAGCATTACCCAGAAGTAGCCTTATTTCTCAATTTTAAACTTTAGGACTAGAGTGCCACTATAGTTGTAAACCTTGTCACTAGAAAAAAAAACCTGTGCATTTATTCCCTTTCACAGGACAGTATGCCACAAGAAGCACAATGTGGTAGGGATGAGAATAAACATGCCACAGGTGACAGATTTAAGTTACTGCTACTTAATGATTTCATCATGCAATGTAAGAATATACTTTGTATACGATCAGAATGAGGGTTGTACAAGACCTAAACAGAAAAGAATTTAGCATTTAAGCAATGTCATATGTAAATGGAGAAAGCCCCCAAACTCTAGGAGCAGCTGACCTATTCTGACCACTTTTCATTGCAAAGAGAAAGTCTTTGCATTTTAGTGCCCACTTAAACAATTCTGCAAGTGAGCAGCTTCTAATAATAATGCCAGTGAAATAAAAGATGGTGTAGAGCTGGTCAAAACTGTTAAAACAACACTTTTTCTACCAAAAACATGATAATTTTACAACATTTTTGCAATGCTCCGTAGACTAGAAAGGGCAGCTTTTAAGTAGCTCCGAGCATTGTATGGCCCTTCCCTACCTTTTCCTTACTACTCTCCTGAAACACCTCTGCTATTTTAACTGTTACAGGAGAGGAGCAATCAGCGGCAGTCAGATGTGTCAGATGGTGTAATGGGCTTGTTTTGCACATAGCGCCCGTCTCAGGGCTGCAGGTATCTTCAGGCAGCATGGCCAGATGCACAGGGAGAGTCCTAAGCAGCTTGTTTATTGGGGAAAACACAAGAGGGATGGACAGTTCTCAGAAATCTGTCAACAGTAAACTTGACCCCTGTATCTGTTGTTTCAAAAATAGGCTGGCCACAGAATTCCAAAAGGAATGAAAGACAGTAGTTACAGAAATCACACCTGGCATGATGTACCTGTGGTACAAAAGTTACCGCTCTTTATCTATTCCAAATGTGATTAGCCTTCATTCATTTTTTTTCTACTTTTCCTGCAGTTTTCTTTCAGGCTTCCTTTCCAGAATGGGACGTGTTGCCTCAAAAAGTCTGTTGGAATTGTGCATGTTTCTGCATCTCTCTTAAAACTCATATTTTCTTGGACATCCACAAAGCACCCAGCAGTAGCCAGGCAGATTGCTGAGCGGTGCCATTTACAGGCTATATTGCTAATAAAAAACCAACCAGAAAGCCCAAATATTCCCTAACGGGATGCTGTTCCTCCACATTTTTTTATTGCATATCCTCTAAGCACACTGTTGTTTTTGGAGTACAGGCTGACCCAAGGCTGGCTGAAGCTGATAGGAAGCTTCCCATCCACTTAAGTGAGCTTCAGAAATGGTCCTTATAATGTCTGGTGCTTGCTAGGCCCTCCAGCCACAAGTGCCGAGACTAGCTAAAAGAGGCTAGAAAGCCTAAAAAAAAAAAATCAGAATTGAGGCAAATGCAAAGCTGGTTTTCTGCATGTCACGACCCAGACTGGACAGACCAGGGAGTCATGTTTAATTCGAAATTCCCTCAGGCTAAATTAAGGTGAAAGGACACCAAACGATCAGTTAAAGATTTTATTCATGACAGAAGCAAACTGAATTAGGGAGGAGTGGTAGTAGGTGGCAGGGTTTCTCACAACAGGAATTGGCATAGGACTACTGTAAACTGTGTAACCATATACATCAATTCAGGGAATAAGGAGATCCCTCCCATTGAGTCACGAGGTTCAGAACAGACCCCCTTGCTTTCCAGACTCCTCCTCAGAGAAGGGTCTATGGGTGGCTGGATCTACTCTCAGTCTCAGACTTGGTCAATGGTTTATATCTTGAAACAGATGAGGTGTAGGTATTGTGGAAAAGGAAAGAGAACGGAAGAAAGAGAGAGGAAAAGGAAGAGAGAAAGATTTCACCGGTCCTGGGTCGAAGAGAGAAAGATTTCACCAGTCCTGGGTCCACCGTTGGTTCAGTCAGCCGAGGTGGTCAGTCCTGGTGGGCTTGCACTCCCGGAGCTTCAGTTGGTGTCCTTTTAATCATCCTTGCCCCTCCTTCGGGCAGGCACCTGAACTCAGGTTAATGAGCAGTTTGTGAGCCTTTGGGCTTGGGGGTCGTTTGTGGAGTAACTTCTTCCCTGCAGACATGGCCATCAGAACAGCTTATCGGAACAGGGAGCTGTGCACCCTCCAGCACACCCTCCCCCTCCTGTTGCTGATGTCTGAGCTGATGGGCTTTTCACCTTGGTTCCTTGGTGTGCAGGGTTTGTCTTTCAGCAGAACTTGCCCCACCACAATGTTTGAGACATTAACTCTTTCAGTCTCTCACACTGCACTGCACTTTTCTCAGGAAGCATGTGTTGCAGCACCTGGGGGAACCTTTTTCCATGCCAGTGCTCCACTGTCTGCACCATTTTTTCCCCAAGGGTTTTGCTGCAGAGAAATGCAATTTACTCTTCCAGCAGGAAGTTCATGCATCAGCTACCAAAAAAAAGAATGTGCTCAGGTACTGATGAGGTGATGCTAGTATCAATTTTATGTTTCAGCAAGTGCAGAGGACACCGTGACTTGTGGGCTTTTTTCCCTTTGAAGTACAAAAATGACAGATGATCAGCCTCCCCCTTATGCTTCCAAGTAATTGTAGATTATAACAGTTCCTTGACTGGAAAGCAGTTACCTTACAGTTTCTTAACTATTTTCATCTTGAATGAGACTTCTTCAGAACAGCTTGAAGACTAGAGACAATTTTTCACGGTGCTACATATGTTTATATAGTCTCTATATATGCTGTATATACTAAACGAGATAAATTCATTCAGAGCTTATGCTCCATCAAGTTAAAGTGGATATTTTCATGCCCTGAACATAGTTAGATTCCTGTTCTTATTGGCATGTAATTATAATCTCATCTCTGAGTTTACATGCTTTCTTCTCTCCCTATACAGAAATTACTTCCTTGAAAGAAGCCATTTTTTATTATTCCAGGATGTTACCGGTAGATAACAGACTTCTAAACTTACAGATCTACAAACTTCTTCAGTGCATTCACCAGAAAGACAAGAAGCAAATAGAAAAGCTGGTCCAGAATGGATTCCCAAATCTCATTAATTTCACAGAGCCTATGGAAGGATATAGTGCCCTTCATTTGGCCTGCATTAAAAATGACACCGACATGTGCAGCTTCTTGCTGGAACAGGGAGCTCATCCAGATGTCCAGGACAAAATGGGACATACTCCAGCAATGAAGGCAGCTGAGCTAGGCCATGAGATGGTTTTGGATTTATTAGCAAAAGCTAAAGCAGACATGACTGCTGTGGATAATGAAGGGAAGGGTAAGTAAAAGGAACCTTATCAGACCAGAAATACCATAAAACAACCCCTTGCTGTGTTACACACTTGCTACATATGTTGTGTCCAATCTGTAGAGAGGAACCATGGTTGAGGGTAATCCTTACAGCTCAACAGAAGCTATTGGCCATAAGAACTTTGATGAAAATGAAAATAATTCTCCCTGAACAGTCTAGGGCTTTAAATCATAGGTCTCTCTAGTACATAGCTGAAAGATAACTTGTGATTGAGAATCGTGTTCCTCCCATGACCTGTCACATATTAAATTCTGGTTTACTCCCCAAGTTCAAATGCCCTAAACTAGAAGTCTTTTTTTGCGTGTGTATAGATATACCCTAAGAGAAGTTAATGGGTCTCTGTTGAAGGAGTTTGTCCATTCAGCTGTGAAGCTTACAGCCCAAGTAACCTTTCTAATAATTTAGTATTACACCATATTCCCTGCTGGTTTTCTTTGCAGGTGTTTTGTTTTACTGTATTTTACCTACAAGGCGGCACCACCACTGCACAAAAATTGCCTTGGATTATGGTGCAGATGTTAACAACTGTACTACTGATGGGAAGCCTGTATTTCTACAAGCCTGTGAGCAAGCTCATGATATTAAAGAAATATGTCTGAATTTCTTGGAAAGAGGAGCAAATCCCAATGCAAGAAACCCAGTATGAATATTTCTGTAACTAAAAACATTTATACAAGAGTTTAGAATAGTTACCAGATGACTAGAGTATATGTCTGTCGTGGTTTAACCCCAGCCAGCAACTAAGCACCACGCAGCCGCTCACTCACTCCCCCACCCACCCAGTGGGATGGGGGAGAAAATCGGGAAAAGAAGTAAAACTCCTGGGTTGAGATAAGAACAGTTTAATAGAACAGAAAAGAAGAAACTACTAATGATAACACTGATAAAATGACAACAGCAATAATAAAAGGATTGGAATGTACAAATGATGCGCAATACAATTGCTCACCACCTGCCGATGAACACCCAGCTATTCCCCAAGCAGCAATTCCCTGCCCCCCACTCCCCAGTTCCTAAACTAGACATGACATCCCATGGTATGGAATACCCCGTTGGCCAGTTTGGGTCAGCTGCCTTGGCTGTATCCTGTACCAACTTCTTGTGCCCCTCCAGCTTTCTTGCTGGCTGGGCTTGAGAAGCTGAAAAATCCTTGACTTTAGACTAAACACTACTGAGCAACAACTGAAAACATCAGTGTTATCAACATTCTTCGCATACTGAACTCAAAACACAGCACTGTTCCAGCTACTAGGAAGACTGTTAACTCTATCCCAGCTGAAACCAGGACAATGACCTTAAATCCTCACATTAAAATAATAAAGCAATGGCAAGTGCTTAACTCTGTGGCCATGCCTATTCCCTTTTCTGTACCACCCTTTTTTGCAGGAGCAGGGATTTAAGTCTTCTGCTTGAACCACGTATCCTGATTTAGATTGTGTAGATTAGAGTGAAAGTGTTTTACAAAACCAAAATGTAACTGGGCCATCTCTTAGGATTTGTAGTTCACTGTACTTCAGTGGACCAATGTTGATTTGTACTTTGCCTGGATGTGCCCTAAGGTTTTCAGAGTTGAAATAATATTCACTAAAAGGTGGGTCCAGCATGAAAAACCTGATGGAGAACCAAGGCAGGAACAAGGCATAAGAAACTCTTTTCTCTCTTTTGTATGCCTTAGTAATTTATTTGTTTACTTCCTCAATTCAACAAAGACCTGAAGGACTGAAGCTCTGTGCTGTTGATCAAGTCAAGGAGCTCAAGCTTTCCCTTAAAGCTACCCATGGCTCTTGCTTTGGTCCTAGTTTTGCAGTATCCTTCCTGGTTTGTAGTTATAGCAAAAACAATGTTTGGAAATCCTTATCTCATCTTCTCAGGCACGTGTCTGCTTCATGCACTCAGTGTACCTGCAGTATGAGAAACCTGAAATTTTTTTTGTAATATGATGGGCACATACCTGGTCACATAATGGGAATGGTTTGCTAGACCCAGAGAAAGACAGATACCAGGGAAGAACATATGGTTCAGTGGAACAGATCCACAGCTCACTGCTCTCTTTACCCCTGTGTAGAGTGGCAAGTCAGATATTCTAAGTGTTGCTGTGGGCCAACATGTTAATAGCAGGTGATCCCTGATCCAAGATGTGCTCTGTTCTTGGAAAGGTCACCAGATCTACCAAAGTCAGCCATTATAAAGAAAATAGGTAATGCTAATCACAAACATACACTATTATGTAGAAAAAGAGGCAGCACTAATGTATTACAATATGAACTTTTCCTCTCAGAACAGTAGTGAAATTCCCCAGTTGCTCTGCCTTCTCTGTAGCACTTCTCCAGCCATAGCTCCTTATGCTCTTTCATGGTAGAGGTGGTATTGTGTTAAATTTTGTAAACATGCATGAGAGCATGCACACAGAATAAGGAATTCCGTAACTAAGGAATTGATTTTCATGGGGACTATTCAGGGGATTCAAGTTACTAATGTACTTGAGTTGCTGGGATTTGACAACACATTTTAGCAGCATTACAACTAGATTCTTAAAGTTTACCTACAAGTGTCTTTGAAACTATTAGCCTTGTCTCCTTTTTTTGATAATACCTAAAAAGGAGACCTTCAGTTTTATGCCACCTTGCAAAAATCACATCATATTGTTCCAACCTGAATTACCATACAAAACATTCTGAATTGCTTTCTTGCTACATTGCAGGCTACGGGTCGCACAGCCTTAATGGAAGCAGCAAGAGAAGGTGTTCTCGAGCTGGTGCGTGGTCTACTTGAGAGAGGAGTCAATGTTAACCTATTTGACCTTGAAAGACACAGCGCTGCACATTTTGCAGCCAAAGGTGGCTTTTTTGAGGTATCATCATTTGTGGTGCTAAAGCATTGTTGCAAAGCCAAGCCTGTGTTATTTTTTGTTGTTATTAGGGTTTGTTGTTGTTGCTATATTTTTATTTTGAGTCCAGTATCTCAGCTGATCAAAGCATAATAATCAGCAGTCAAGAAGAGCTTCTTTTTAAGTATCAAATGGAATCCAGTAGTGATAGAATGTCTCTCATACTTGCAGAGCCTTTTTTGCCAAGGTACCTCTGAGTGTGTGTGCTAGTGTGGCTGGCTGGTGTGAACAGCTCCAATGGAGAGCTTGTTTCTCTCAACAAGTAGCATGTCACTGCTGTGTAACATGGATGAAACATTACCCTTATAAAAAGAGCAGATGCAAACAGCTGCAGATAGGCACTTTCTTCCTTATTCCCCATATCATCTTCAAAGTATATAAAATGATGCAGTTTTGATTGTGCATGCAATGTCAGTTACTTTAAGACAGTGGCCTGCAGGAGGCTGGCAGGAGTGAAGATTGTCCTTGATGTCTACAACTGAACAAAGTTTCTATTTCCTGAGTTAAGTAAGCACAGTACTATAGAAAACTTGAACGTTACGTACACATTGATCAGCTGGGCATGGGAGAGAAGTTCACTATATAAACTGGGAATATATGATATTACAATTCTTTGTAAATCATTCTCACACTTCCCCTCCTTAAGAAACAGACAAGATTTTTGCTGGTACCTTGTTTTTTCTAGATTCTGAGGATTATTTCAGCTTACAATGGAGACTTGGGCCTGATTGCTATGAATGGTAACACGCCACTTCATTACGCTGCAGAGGGAGGATTTACAAATTGCTGCAAGTTTATAGGACAAAGAGGTACATTAAAAATAAGTTACTTAGCAACTATCATGTATATTCTATTTCGGTGCTAAAGGAAAAATTTCGTCTGGGCATCTATAGAATCATAGAATCATTTAGGTTGGAAAAGACCTTTAAGATCATTGAGTCCAACCGTCAACCACGTCCACTAAACCATATCCCGAAAGTGCCTTGTCTAACGTGCTTTTTGAATACCTCCAGGGATGGTGACTCAACCGCTTCCATGGGCAGCCTGTTCCAATGCCTGACAACCCTTTCAGTAGAGAAATTTTTCCTAATATCCAATCTAAACCTCCCTTGCTGCAACTTGAGGCCATTTCCTCTCATCCTATCACCAGTCACCTGACAGAAGAGACCAGTACTCACCTCACTACAACCCCCTTTAAGGGAGTTGTAGAGAGGGATATGGTCTCCCCTCAGCCTCCTTTTCTCCAGACTAAACAACCCCAGTTCCCTCAGCCACTCCTCATAAGACTTGTGCTCCAGGCTCCTCACCAACTTGGTTGCCCTTCTCTGAACACGCTCCAGCACCTCAATGTCTTTCCTGTAGGGAGGGGCCCAAAACTGAACACAGCACTCGAGGTGCGGCCTCACCAGTGCCAAGTACAGGGGAGCAATCACTTCCCTGCTCCTGCTGGCCACACTATTTCTGATACAGGCCAGGATGCTGTTGGCCGCCTTGGCCACCTGGGCACACTGCTGGCACATATTCAGCTGGCTGTCAACCAGCACCCCCAGGTCTTTTTCTGCTGGGCAGCTTTCCAGCCACTCTTCCCTATGAAGGATTTGACTCTTGGGTATCATGTGGCAAATGTAATTCTTATTAATAAGTGCCTAACATAGGGCATTATGACTTATTTCTACTCACGTGGCTGAGATAAAACATTTCTCAAAGCAAACAGCAGAAACATCATAAGTTTGTATAACTTAGAATTGGACTGTACTAAGTGGTTCTGGTTTTAGCTGTTTTTAGATGTATAGTATTGAAACTTCCAATTGAAAGTTAATTTTTGGTTTGCTGATAATTTTAAAAAAAGATCTCTATATAGTCATGGGGAAAACTTCATGCCCATGGGTATTGAAACATATTCCAAAGCAGCTGTGATCATTTTCTAACTTAGTCAGATGATCATAACACTTCAAGCTTTGATTCAAGAGGACCATGCAAAGTCCTATGTTCTGTTCTTGTGATTCAAACATTTAACTAGTGATCCATCACCAAACTGCAAGGTTGGGGTATAGAACATTGAGGGATATTTTAATCTTAGTTTGTTTCTTCTTAACCTTGCTCATCACTTCAAGTAAAAATGTAAAGTTTCTACTGAACTTCTGCCTTTCTATACATATTCATGAATGGACAGATAAGTAAAGCATGGGTTGCCCAATGAATCTCCCTTTGGGAAACAAATATGGACACGTGACTAACCTTCCAGTCTGGGATCAATGATGCGGTTCCATCTAGTATCACTATTTCTAGTTAAGACAGTATAGAATTGTAGACCTGTGGCGATTAGTTACATGTATATTACAAGTCTCTTCTATTACATAATTAGGAATTCCACTGCATTGTCAGTGAAATTGTGTCCCTGTTTTTAGGCTGTGATCCTACATGGACAAACTTGTTAACGAAGACACCAAGAGCCATTGCCAAGGAAGGCGGTTTTAAAGCAGCAGCAGCAGAATTGCGTAAAATTGAAAATGCCTTTATAAAACAGTCCAAGCCTGGGGCTAAGGAGGACAACCCCCGCTGGGCACTGAGGCTGTACGACTGGTCCTTAGAGCACCAGGCTGCCCTCCGCAAGGAGTTTCAGGCCATTGACCAAGGAGATGGGACAGTGGCTAAAGATGATTTTATATCAGTTATTCAGAAGCAGTGTGCCTTTGTGGACATTGAACAAATACAAACTATTGCTGAAATGCACGAAGGATCTCACCCTGAGGGAATCAACACTGAAGAATTTTTTAAAGGCTCTAAATACCTGCAGAAAAGCTGTCTTATAATGTCCTTTGGACCAAAAGGGAAGAAGGGGAAGAAAGGAAAGAAACGAAGAGGCAAAAGAGGCATCGCCATCCCCGTGCCGATCTGTGTTATCCCAAAGAGTGCATGTCCACGTAGGGAAGATGGCTTCCCTGTGTACTTGATTGAGGCTATTCAGAACATTGCTGAGAGCTACCATTTTAACCGAGACCACCCATCTGCTCATCCTGTGCATGACGACCGTGCCTGGTATATAGATGAGCCAAGGAAAATGTACATGAATATTAACTACCTTGTCAGAGCAGGAGACATTCTGTCGCTACAGAAAGCATTTGAGGAGGGTGTGCCAGTAGACATAAAAGATAAGTATTACAAAACACCTTTGATGGCTGCATGTGCAAGTGGGAACATAGATGTTGTGCAGTATCTTCTGGAAAAGGGGTAAGATCATTTCAGAGATTTGTTTTTAAATTGCTATTTTAGAAGGGCTTTGAAAAGCATAAATTTCCAGTAAACATTTGTATGCAACAGACTATGGTTTGTTTTTTATTTACATAACATTTAGTATTAAATTTAGTTCCATAAGATCCTGAGTTACAGAGGGTAATTTATTATTTTTCACATTTTAGTAACAGAGAAATAGAAATACCCAAGAGGTTCTCCACATCTGAAATTTTTGGTTTCTGGGCTGCCAACATCTTGGTCAGATGCAGAGTACCTACACATCCAGTCTGTTGGAACTGCAGTTAGTTCATACCCATGTCTCAAATAGTGCCTCCTCAAAACTGAACTCTCAAAATCGGATAAATGATTTTGGGGAAATCAGGCTCAAGTGACTTGCCTGAAATCATCAAGGCAATCCTGGACTTCCCTGTTCCACATGCCAGGGCCTTTGCATGCAAATGTTTTAAGGGGATAAGCATTCTAATAATTTTTCTCTGCAGCCTCAGCAGGCTGAGGCAGCAGGATTTACACCAGAAGCGTGTGCTGCTATTTAGTCTGTTCCTCACTTTAGAAGTGCTTCAGCAATTTTGTAGCCTACAGACACACTTGTGGAAAATCTCAATGGTAGCTTAAAAATGAAAGCAATTTAAGAAAGATTAAGTCATACTTGTGTAATAGCATAATCTCTTCTTTTTTATTGTCAGACTGCTGTAGTCCTACAGCCATTCACATAAACGCTTAAATGAACATTTTTCAAATATATTAACATTAGCTTTGTTCTCTATCTGTAACTAGAATTCATTTTAACATTCATTTCTCAGGATAAGTGGCTGTAGTCGTTGCTCCCATTCCTGCAAAGACTTAACAGCACACGGATCTTTACACACCCTGGTAATTACATGGACATTCCTAGAGCATATGGAAAGCTGTGTAAATGTGTACATTCAAGTCTTCCAAAGATAAGGAAGGATGCAAGAGTTAGCAAATTAATCTCTACTGCTTTCGCCAAGCCTCACTAGACAGCACTGGAATCACATCTCATCATATTTATCATTTAGACCTAGAAATGGAATAACTTAGTTTAGAAAAAATAGTACCAATTTTGAGATTTTTGAATTGACAGAAATCAGAAAATGGAGAGGAAAGTTATCAGTACAGTGTTTAGCTTTGCATCTTTCAACAGCATGGACTTTCAGACACTTTCAGTTTGGCATGGGAGTTCAAATACTTTTTACAATATAACCTTTTCAGTATGGTATCACAAATCCATATCGAATAGAAAACAAAACATTTATCTGGAGCTATAGAAAATGCTGGGGTTTAAACATAAATTGGTGGTATCTACTTTCTATCTTGTTCCAGAAAGTCTCAGAAGTAAAGTAAATTTGGGCTAAAGGCAAATTCAGTGCTTGATCAGGAGAAAATGCTGAAGAATTTTTAAGTCGGTGCTGTGTTGTCCCTGTTCCCTTAGATCAGTTTGTTTCCGATAGAATGAGGTTAGCAAAAAGGATTCAGGGGCAGACAGACTATCAGTACAGGCATGGAGGCTGGGTTGAGAGTGAAAGCGGAATAACTGGACCCACTTATTTTAATGAGAAATATAAAGGAAATTAAAACTGCATGCGAATAAACCATAGTGGCTAAGCAACTGAACGGTAACAAAGTTAAAACTGGTAGGTTGGGGGAATTTACTGTGTTAACGTCTCACCAAAGGCAGAATTCTGAAAAGATTAAAAATTTAAACAGGAAAAGAAAAACAGATAAATCTGTTCTTTTGATCGAGTTAAATATTAACCATCTGATCTGAAGAGCAAAAAAGCTATCCCTGGAAGCAGCTTCCTTCATAATCTTTCTTCCTTCTCCCTCCCTCCATGTCTTTTGGGAAGACACCAGCTCTTTGTCCCTAGAGTAAATGGGACAGTGACCTCTAGGCTGTCTTAAATACACTGCAAAGTAATTCACTCTGCTTGAATACTAGGGAATCCCCTCATGAGGTTTTGACCCCTTCTGAACCCGCGCATGGCACATGTGGGAGATGGCAGACCTGGGCATGGTCTGTGCTTTCTTCAAAAATATGAGGGAACCATATTTCTTCCCTTTTAACACCATCAAGGGGCTCTAGTGGCTCTTGTTCCCCAAGCCTTGCTTTTGCATCACCCCAGCCCAAAAGCTCCCAAGGCAGCCAGTTGCTAAAAGGCTGATAATGCTTTTCCCCTCAGCTTCATCCGAAGGCAGTGTATTGGAAATATCTCCCCCAAACTAGCCCTTGCATCCTCCAGAAGATGCCAGTTTTAACCTGGGAGCAGAAACAGATCTAGCCCAGTGGCACAGTGGCTGAAGAAGTTTTAAATGCTCAGATTTTATGAGGTAGACCTTCTCTAACTCATTTGTATATTGGACAGTAGGCAATTTTGCCATGGGTTTTAGAGCACCTGTTCTTGGCCCAGAAGCATTCTTTTTTTCAATTCCTTAATCTGCTTCTTGCCGTTCTCAGTGAAGCTGGAGCACAAACACTGGCAGCATTTTACAGGACTTACCTGTTTGGATGCCTATTTTTCTCTGTACCTGTGAAAACCTCCATGTAGAAAACACTGTGTTGGCTTAGAGGGGGATATGATCACCACCCAGGCACACCCTTACAATTAATATATAGCTTGTCATGGAATGTCAGATACTAAAATGGTTTCAGAGTAGCAGTAGCAATATGAAAATATTTATTTACATTGACTATGCCATTGCAGCGGGCAGTTAATGTTGATTGTACTTGGAGCTGTGGATGTTACCATATCTAGTTGCTAGCTTCATCTGCCACGGCTCCTCTTAACTCTTTTGTAGGGCTGATGTAAACGCAGCAGACAATTTCATGTGGACTCCTCTCCACCACGCTTGCTATAACGGACACATAGATGTTGCTGAACTGATAGTGAAGGCTGGAGCGGCAGTGGATGCACCTGCAATAGGCAATGCAACCCCACTAATGAGAGCCATTGAGATCTGCAGATTGGATATAGTCTGTTTTTTAATCAGTGCGGGTGCTGACATCCAAACAACAAACAGCAATGGTAAATATCAATGTCTCCCCAAAAGGAGAGGCCTGTTTCCTTATGAGTATACATGTTTTATTAAAAAACCTAAGCTCTTGGAACACTTTGAGAAGTGTTCTGAATTTATGATTGCTGTCAGGATTGGGATGAAGGTAAGAGTTAGGTTCAATTAGTTTTCTACAGTATGGAGTCACTATTCTAAGGACTCAGCTTTCCTGGGATTTATGCATCTAGAAAATAAAGTAACATGATTAATTACATGATTAAGGAGGCTATTGCCCCTCACAGGATAAATACAGAGTTATAAGTGTCTTTAATGAAAAAAATTCTAGCTAGTTATGAATGTTATTTAATGGAAAATTAGATTTTAGTTGTGGTCAGTGTGTATTCTGCTACCATTTAAATCCCTTATTTTTATGCACAGGCAGCGCTGGTTAAAAAAAATTTCTTGCTGCTTAGCACATAAATATTACTCCCTAAGAAAAAAAAAAATTGATTTAACAGAAAAACAAATCTGAACTGATATTGAAGTGTTACTTCCTTGCAGCAGATCCCTCATTCAGTATTATTTCCTCTATATTCAGAGTAATTTAAATAGTTGACATTTATCACATTTTAAGCCCTTGCTGTAACATAGGAAGCAATATTGCTGTGTAACAAGACTTTCCTTCCCAAAATGCCTTACAGGTGAAACCCTGCTTGTAGAAGGGATGTGTATTCTCCATTTCTATTGCCACATGAAGTTTCAATTCACACAGCAGTTTAGTCTCGCAACTACTTTACAGCCACAGGGTCTCATCTTGTAAGATCCAGGGGAGTTTTTCCTTTCTTAGGCACTGAAGGTGTTCAGCACTATTTAAACCACAGGGCTTTCCCTTGATTCCTTGCCAGCCACAGAGCAGGCACTGGAAGAGGTAGATACCTACAATAACTTGCCCGACATTCCTAACCTTGTACTATGCTGGCCATCTTGTAGTGCTAAATGCTTGCAGCTCTCAAAGATCAAAATTACAACCTGCATGACCAGTATATTAAGCTGCAAATGTCAGGACATTAAGAGCAAAGCAACCACTCCAAGAATTCCTGCAATATTTGGTGTCAAGGCTTGTTTCTGCAAGCAGTGCTGATGACTGCCAGTTGTCACACCAATGTCAGGCACACTGCTGGCACTCTGAATGGTTAATAAAAGAGAGGTCTAATTAAATTCAGTTGACTGTAGTGTCATTGTCCAGTTGCAATAACAATTGCCATTTTCATGGCTTATAAAGGTATTTGTTTTTTTAATTACAGGAAGGAATGCTCTTGATATTGCTAAAGTATTTGCAGATTCTAGAATAATTGATCTGCTCCAAAATAAACTGGAAAATTTGCCAAAATCACCAGAAAAAAAAGCAGAGAAAGAAAAAGTTATGAAGCCAAAGTCACCTTCTACACTGATGCCTGTAGAGGTACAAGCCATGAAAAAAGAGATATGAGAGATGGTAACAAAAGATTGACTTGCAAATAGTTAGTAGAGTGCATGCTTCTTTCATTTATTTGTCATCCATGTCTCTTTACAGCTATAAATCAGGCAGTTTTGTTAAAGTGAGTCTTTTCAGAAGCCAGTACTAGTACTTGTTCATCGGTTGAAATTTTAGCTTGTTAATTATATGAACTTCATGTCTTCCCCAGTCCCACTTAAGAATTATGTCCTATATCCCTGACAGACCACAGAAAAATATTTCCTCCTCTTCTCCCCCTTCTCCTGAAGTTTATGATCATCTAGCTCTGTTGTGATAGATACTGAAAAACTGGTAACCATAATTTCTTAAAGGGAGCAGCTGTTTCTTCACAGGATAAGACCAAGGCCCTTCGAATTAGTAGAAAGGTCTTTTTATTCTGCTAATCCAACTCACTGAGGTGACATCAGGCTTGCTGACTTCTCATTTCCCAGGTTGTCTCACATCCTTCCTCTTCTACTATTGGCCAAGTCCTGATTCTCAAATCCCACACTGATGTTTGGCTGTTGTACTTCTGAATGCCTTTCCTGCACCCCCGGGAGCCTCGAGTACCTCACCATTGCCCTAGTTCCCAAGCTGACATCAGCCTTCGTGACCACATCCTCCTTGTCTTATTGGGGATGAGATCTTCCTGATTTGCCAGCAGTACTTGTTAGTCAGACCCGAGATGCTCTTAGGAGAGAAAATGCAGTTGTAGCTGCATTGCTGGAAGTGTCCTTCAGCAGCCCTGCCCCAGACAGCATAGTAAATATGTCCAGTAGCCACTGATCAGTTTCCCCCTTTCAAAAATGTTTTGTATGTCAGGGATAGTATAGGACTTTCATAGGCAGGATGATGGCAACCTTAGGTGCTTATTTATTCATTTCCTGGCACAGGATGGAATCACCTGTGGTACTAGGCGATTGTCTTGTGAGTCTTAAAGAGCAGTTAATGTTTTAGCGTCCAAGGAGAGTCATCCTCTGCCTTTTAAAAGGTTTCCCCTCACGATTTTTGGTTATAAACCCCCCCCCGCAAACAACCAGCTTTAATAAAAACAGATTCTGAACAGAAAAAGAAAAACACGCTGACAGTACATAGATAGGAAAAGAAGTATCAGAAAGTGCAGGATGTGTGCCTTGCTTCCGAATGTGATATATTTGTATAACTGATAACATCTTCTCTTTCAGACTTCACAGGTATCTCTGCCAGCTGTAGAAAAATCCATTCTTGAAAAGACAACACATTCTCTTAAGGACAGTGTTATTTATCTGAACTCTTTGATAACCAGTGGTGCTACCAAGAAAGATGACATCGCATTTAAACCCAGAAAAGTACGTACAGTAGCAAAACATGAGCTCAGTGTCACATTCATTTAAAGCTAGATCTTGCTGTAGATCAAAAACCAGAACAATCTGATGAAATGACTTCACAATTCAAGTAGCTTATAGATGATGTGACACAGGCTAGAGAGATTGCCACAAAACAACAGTAAAGAGCTCATATATATGTGTATATTATATATAATATATACACATATATTTATATAAAACAAATTGTCATGGAAATCAAGTTCTCATCAGGTTTTAAAATAGGATTAAAGTGGACCTGCAGCAAAATACAAATGCAACTATGTTGATGGTATGGATTTTTACATTCTCACACTTAAAGAATAGGAGTACTTGTGCATGGGACCAGCACCAACTTCTAACTTGCCTTCTCAGTTAGTTATCACATGATTACTTATGTCAGTGACAGTTACTGAACTAAATGGATCACAGTACACTAAATATCTACTTTCTAGAGTTAGAATACTGGAAATGCAATTTTTGTATCAGGGACTTGTTAATACTCATTCACAAATAACTGAGAAACAGAAAAAGATTATCATAGAGAAGTAATTTTTTAAATATTTTTCTTTCTTCTTAAAAAGGAAAAGAAAACCATTGCTGACAGGGAAGTTTTATTTGGAGTTTGTTTACCATTTCCCTAACCCTGATTTGTGCTTGTTTCTGCCGTGGTCTCAGGGGAATAAGGCTACATTGCCAGCAACTCTACAGCTAATCACTATTTTCCACTCTGAGGATCTTGGGCCTGAGTCAGTCATTCTAAACAATTAGCTTTGGATCTTCTTTCCCACATTCTCCCTAACCTGAGCCCATGGCATGTTATAGATTGGAAGTGACAATAAGAGAATGCTCTGCTTATATGTACATAAATCATTGTGGTATCTTCCACTGGGAGGCTGCACTAGTTTTTGTCTGTGTCTCAGGATGGAAAGGAGTGCTAGAACATGGCTCTGTTTGGCTAACAGTATCTTCTTAATGCTTCAGTTGTGGAAGTCATGTCCAAATTAACTACAAATACCTTTGTTTTGTAGATTTGGGCCCCTGAAGCTGCAACAGAGGAGCTAATAAGAAAGCAAGAATTGCTCCGTGAACGCTTTACTCTTGATGACCACTCAGAAAGCTTCACGAGCCCCTTTAATAGAAAAGTTATGGAATAAGAACACCAGCTGGAAGAAGCTACTTTAGCATGTATTTTGAGGGGACAAAGATCAAAAAGGCTACTTCTCTGTAAGGAAGGAATCATACAGTGCTCAGTAAATGTAACTCAGTTGTGACAAAAAAAAAAAAAAAAGTAGCAAGTTTTTCCTCTGTAGATTATGTTGCTTACACACAATCTTTTTTTATGGACTTTGTCTGGAAAAAGGTTTCCAAGTCTTGGTGCTGGCTCAGTGTGCTTCATGGATTGGCCGCTGTTGTGACACATACATCCTTTGTCTTTGGAAAGGTATGGCTTTATGAGGCTGTTTTTCACCCCAGCAAAAAACTTCTTCCTGGAAGATATGTTACCGTTTCTACTAAAAGGGTGTTAAATATAAAGAAATTAAGATAGCATTCAGTAATTAAGACAACAGAAAGTACAGAATTTACAACCAGGACTACTACTGTCTAGTGTACTGCTTTCACGTTCTGCCACTCACTTGCAAGAGTGCACAAGCCTTTCTCCTCACTTGCTGAGGATGTATTCCGCAAGTGCACTGTTGCAAAGTTGTTATCAAGACCTTCAGATATTTTAAGCAAACTTGGAAAACATTCAAAGATTTTGTGAGTGCAGGTTCTTGTATCAACAGCTTCATCCACAGCTAATCCAAATCAGTGCTTGCCCCTACAACAGTGAAGTCAACAGATATTGCCCCTGCTATTTTAATGAGTTCTTTAGTCAGGAAGGATTTGGTGTCTTAGAGTTAAACTGACCAGGCTGTGGTAATGAATAAAAGTTCATTTTAGGAAGTGTATAACGTCAAGATTCATGTGATAGGAGCAGGTCAAAACAGCATGGGTTCTGCTGAGGGACTCTGCTCCTCTGGAATCCTGTTGAGTATGTCTGCAAAATAGTTGGCAGCACAAAAGTGAGTCCAATTCAGAGCTTCAAAAAGGCAGTTACAGGTGAGAAGTTTTGGGTAAGCAGAGGCTGGAAATGCTGGGAATATTTAGCTTAGAGAGGAAATAAGTGGGAGGGAATGCCATAAAATATATCTAAAGCAGCAAAAGTGTGGAGAAGTGAATTGAAACCTGCTATCTGTTTTTTCACAGGATACAAGAACATTCAGACTACAGGAAAAAAAAAAAAACCAGCACACATTAAATACTGTACAATGTGTAAATAGCCTGTGGAACCCTCTAGCCCAATTATCCTTGGAAACTTAAAGAAATATTTACACAGATTGTGAGAAGAGTCTAGTTAACTAACACATAAGGGATAAAAATCTCTTGTGTTTCAGGACCTCAGCTAATTACTGTTGGCATATGATAGTTTTCTAGCAATGCAGTTCACTTCCTGATTGTCCACTGTGGTGATGTGTGTGTCCCTTAGGAGAGAAGATGACACTAGCCTAGACAGACACTGTAAATTAGATCAGCTTCTGGTTTGATAGTACCCATTCTTCAAATTTATTTTAATGTTGTGAGACTTCAAGAGCTGTCTGGCTCAAGAGTACAGCTACTTTTGAAAATTTGTTTTCAAACATACTCTTCTTTTTTTTGAACTGCAAGTCTTGAATTCTGGAATCTGAGCTTCAAACTGGGTTCTTTCCTTCTGGTTCATCATTTCTTGTAATAAGAACCAAGTTTTGCCCATGCTGATGTGTGTGATACAGCATTTCCATGCCTGGATTTGCCTAGGTATGAAGAGAGCAGGGTAGAAGATTGTTGGGGAAAGCCTGCGTGGTCATGTTCTTAAAGACACCACCACTGCCTGCATGATGCTGCATGCAGTGATCCCTTTATAACTCTAGCTGCACATCTAAATGCAAATATGATACTTAGTAGCAACCAAGACAACTGCAAAGTAGATATATCTAGTGAGATATAACTTTCAGATACCACTACTGAACATATTGTTTGCATGAATGTGGTTGTGCATGAGTAGTTTATGACAAGTCGCTTACATTGAGAAAATATCCTGATATGTTTAGCATTTTAATAGCTCTGTATAAAGAAAGACTTTACAGGCAAGTGAGACACCATTTCAAATATCAGCTGTCTTGGAATTCTTAATATCAGCATATCATCTTTGCCTGTCAGCATAAAACTTCTGCTGACTGCAGATGATTGTAAGTAACAAAAATAACAGTGTTAAAGTTAGTCATAGAAGGCAGTGCAGGCAAGGAGCAGGAAGCCCATGAACAGTTGTAAGTAAAACTGCATCCCTAAAAGGAGAGGCATGGGGTCAATTTGCTAAACAGTAGCCATCAAAATAAAATCAAGCAGCACAGTCAGAAACTCCTAACTTATCCTGTAATGTAAAACTGTGTTTCTGGCAGAATTATATCATGGGGATTAGCTAGGCGAGTTCTCTGCTGTTAGACCCAGTTGCTCAGCTCTGCTCTCTGGAAGTACCACAGACGTACTTCTTGCTTGGGTAAATACTGCCACGTTAAGATGTGGACCATTTTCTGCTGGCTGTGTTCATTAGGGTAACTGTAACCAAATTGACAAGAACTTGAATGCAAAGGGAACAAGCTAACCTGGCCAGCAGAAGGGGCTGTCTCCTGTATCTGTTTGGATCACATTTTAGAATTAGGCTTGTTGGCAAGTAACCTCTGAAAAAGTTTTTCAGAAAAGACTGTGCTGAGAGGGGGCCATTTTCTGTTCCCATAGGAAATCCTTATGGCCACCATCCATGTGCTTTGTCATCACAGCCAAGATGGGCTGCAGACTCTCACAGTCTTCACATGTTGTCCCACAAGAAGAGGGGGCAAAAGTTGTCCCTCAGCTGTACGCAACACGATGGTTAACTAGAGAGAAATATTTGTGCTCCTTTGGCCTGCTGGCTTTCCCGTAGCCCCCTCATCTTCTCCGTAGCAGGCTGCCCAAAGAGTTGTCAGACTTGTCTCACAAGCTACCACCCCATCTCTCATCCAGCTCTCGGTCTGGGACCGACTGGCTTTCTGCAGGAGTGCAGCGCAACAGAAGAGGTGAGGCAAAGCGTCATCACACACAATGCAAGGTTAGCCACGCAACCACACGCAGTTGTGAAGAGAGCTCATTTTGTGCAAGAGAAGAAACATTTACCAAACATACATGAGGGACATTATACAGGACTACCCGTCCCAGGGATTTCTGTCCCCACCCGAAATTGTTTCCTCAGACTAGCTTGGTTAGTGATTTTTGCTGCTATTACAGGGCTGTGGTACTGTTTAGGGCTTTCCAAGTCAGTCTCAACATTAAGATCTTATTAACCGAGTGGCCTCAGTGCTGTCTGTTGAGGGTACCAAACAGTAAATGGTGTCACTATTGTATGTCTGAGCCTTCCCTACAGTCCCTTTTAAAGAGAGAAAGGCAGCGATATTTTTGTTAATTTACATATTGAAAAAATAACTACCTTGTGGCATTTTCAGAGAATGGAGTATAATAAGCACCTAACACTGACTCTAATGGTGTTTTGATAACTAACACCCAATCAAAAAATCCAGTGCTCAGAAAACATTGTGCAGGAATAGTCAATTCATTCAGGTCCCAGTGGCACAGAGTCAGATAGCAGAGCAGACTGAAGGGTTTGGCTGGAGTCAAGAAGCACCCTTCAAGACTGTCCTTCTCAAGTGTGGTGATGAGTATGTGTTCAGAGACACCCCCCCGCCTTGTACACCAGAAGTGGAGTAGGAAAGTCTGTTGCACAAAGCAACAATAGCAGTGTAGGAAGTTTTTAGGGATGTGAAAGCAGATATCACAAGGGGAATCAAGGGATAAAGCTCCAGAACTTAAAATTGGCATCAGCAGAAGGAAGGGTATTGAGTAAAGAGCTGGGAGCAAGCTGTGAGGGAGGGAAAGAGACTGTGCTAATGGACTGGTCACAGAAAAACTGAGTGATGATTAGGTAGATGGTGTTAAAGGGTACCAAGTGACAGTCAGAGAGAGACAGACCTCGGTAATAGAGAGCAAAGCACCACGCTCCCAAGTGAGAGTGCCTTCTGGAAAGTTGAATCTGTTGTGTGTCAGAAAATGTACTGAGAACAAGGAAATTTGCAGGTGGGAATTAAAAAAAGATTATCACTGTGAGTCAATCGCTTGAGACAGGTAGCACAAGTGAAAAAATAAATCAAAGGGAGAAACCAGAGCAGAAGAATTAAGCACAGGGCAGCAACACTGGAAGGAAAAGGAAAGACGAACTCTGCACATATACACAACCTAAGACTAGATGAGTTGTATACCAGCTTTGGTTCACAATCAAACTGTAATCTAACCTTAGTCACCCTTTATGAGTTGCCTTTAAAGTTCAAGACAGTTGCGAAGTCTCCAAGTATTGTTTCAAACCAATGTGAGTACCTCAGGCTAGCTGCTGTTGACACCCAGGAGTGTTTCACATACCACTCCATTGTAGAACACAGGCCATTCCATTTCTCATCCCCTGATTTCCAACATGTGCTATTTTAAGTTCACTTGCAAAACACATGAAATTAGTTACAACTGGGTATTGCAGTTGTAGATACCATTGACACACATTTGTGTGCTCAAAACTCAGTTCTTTAACTCCAGAGTGTTTTTTCAAAGGCTCCTCCTAATGTAGGAAGCCTCAGCGCTGAATAAGACTCTAAATTCATCAGATACTACAGGACATGATAGTAACTGTGCACCAAGAGATATCTGATGGATAAGACCTCAGTGAATGATCAACTGCTTCAGGCCTACCTTGAACTGATTTTTTTTTTTTTTTTTCAAAAGGCACCTCACTATTGTGCTCCTTTCTTCTCACATATGGGGACAACTGGATTCTCGCACACCTAATTCCCCATTTCATCCACACCCCCCACCCCAGCAACCCACACATTTCTACCCAAAATGCAAACAGGCACAGTATGTCCCTTTGTGCAGTCCCTCTGTCCCTGAGACTTTTCTAAGCCACCATATAGTTTCATCAGCTTGCCTCTACTGTTCATCTAGGAGGAAGACATGATCAGAATTATCTTATGCTAAGCAAACGGTACAATAAATTATCACTTTG